TATATATAATTTGGACCTTGGAACGGGTGGCTCACACCTATAATCCCTAGCTACTCAGGAGGCTGAGATCTGAGGATCATGGTTTAAAGCCACCCCAGGTGGGAAAGTCCTTGAGACTCTTTTCTCCAATTAACCACCATAAAAAGCTGGAAAATGGAGCTGTGGCTCAGCTGGTACAGTGCCAGCCTTACGTGGAAAAGCTAAGAGATCGCACCCAAGCCCTGAGTTCAAGTCCTAGTACCACCAAGAAAAAATTGTATCATAAGAGAAATGGAAGCTATTTGTGGCAGTCACTGTTGTCTACACAAAAGCTCACCTTCCTTGCTACCAGAATACGATGTGTTAAAGTACTGGGCCAGTGACAAATGCTCTGGGAAAATAGGCTTATCTCCCAACACCAAGGGATAAATCACTATTGACCTAAACTAAGCATGGTAATCCCATTCCCCGCTTTGTCACTGTCTAGCATTGGTCTGGGAATGGGCATTGACCCAATTTGGGCCAATGAGATAAAAGGAGCAGTCTGCTGATGCATTCTGTTGGCCTCTGATAAAATAGAAATCAGCTAAGAATTGGCCTTTTGTTCTCTTAGCCCCTGCCCCACTTCTTGTTTGAGATGCTTTCCTATGAGAACGTTATCTTAGAGATGTGATTATTTAAAAATAAAAATAGAATCTGTCTTTGGGAGGGTAAGTGGGGGAACAGAAATGGTGGGACAAGGGTGAACAAATGCAACAGTGGTACTCACTAGACACTATGTGTAAAATGAACTACACAACTTGTGGGCAGGGACAGGAGGGAAAAACTAGGAGGGATCAAGGAATGGGGTGACTGTACTCTTTATCTGACTTATATAACTGTAACCCCTCTGTACAACACCTTTACGATAACAATAAATACATGAAAATATCTCAACAGCCAGGCACCAGTGGCTCATGCTTGAAATCATAGCCGCTTAGGAATTTGAGATCTGAAGATCATACTTCAAAGTCAGCTGAAGCAGCAAAGTCCATGAGACTATCATCCACCCCAATGCCAGAAACTCAAGTGGTAGAGCACTAGCCCTGAGCAAAAAGCTAAGGGACAAGTCCTGAGTTTAAGCCCTAGCACCAACCAACTCCTCCTTTTTGTCTCTTCTAAATTCTTGACCACTTTTTTCCCTTTTATGGAAAATCTAGGGAGTAGATTCCTGAGGGAGTTCAGGAGAAGAGAAAAAAGACACTTATTGTAGGCCTGCTTTGTGCCCAATACGGGTCTTTCCCACAGATCTCATCTGGTATTGCATTTATGATTTAACTTCAGGCACTTCATTAGGAGCAGGATCTATGGCTAATTATCTGTGCACCTCCTCAGAGGCCTGGCTGAGCTGTGCATTCAGCGCAAAGGACTTTGGAGATTCTATGACACATCAGGATCTGTGTGTGGTAAGGTAAGTAGAGCAGGGTCTCTTCAACTACATGACCCAGTAAATCATGACTGCACATTGTAATAAAGTGGAATGGAAGAGAGTTATTGGATAGTGAATACATGAATCTGTATATTGAATTACCAAAAAAACCTGCATCCTAATTCTGTACCCCTTGATGTGGACCATACACGGTGGCTTTATTTTTTATTAGAATTTGACAGGGCAGAGGGTATAACTCAGTGGTATAATGCTTGCCTAGTACACAGGAGGCCATAGGTTTCCATCTTCAGCACCACAGAAAAATAGAATGTGGTAAAACAACTAAGGATGACTAGCAAGATTAGGCCAGAAAGGTGTTATGGATTCCTACTTGCTTACTGTCTATCTCTGTCTGTCTTTGTCTCTGTCTGCCTCTATCTGTCTGAGTCAGTCTGTCTAAATCTGTCTTATGTCTGCCTCTGTGTCTGTTTGTCTTCTCTGTGTCTGTTTTTCTCTTTCTTTCTGTGTATGGTCTCTCTCTCTCTCTCTCTCTCTCTCTCACACACACACACACACACACACACACACACATCTTTCACTCTGGGGACTCCAAGTTTCATGGCCTGGGGAAATTCAACCTTATAGAGGGTGAGGAACTGGGGCTCTTCATGTGAATTCAACATGGTAAAGAACTGAGGCCTCCTATCAATGACCATCCAAGAACTGAGACCTCTTGCCAGGAGCTATGTGAATGAACCATCTTTCTCAGCGGGGTACTGATGGCTCACACCTGTCATCCTAGCTACTCAGGAGGCTGAGATCTGAGGATGAGACTCTTATTTCCAATAAACACTCGTGGGTAGGAATGTGGCTTAGTGGTAGAGTGCTTGCCTACCATGCATGAAGCCCTGGTTTCAATTTCTTAGTAGCACATAAACAGAAAAACCCAGAAGTGGGATTCTGGCTCTAATGATAGAGTGATAACCTTGAGTAAAAGAAGTTCAAGGACAGTGCCCAGGCCCAGAGTACAAGCTCCAAGACTGGAAAAAAAAATTAACTACTCAAAAAAAGAAAATAGAAGCTCTGGAAGTGGAGCTGTGGCTCAG